AAAAAAAAAAAAAAAAAAAAAAAAGTCATGGACAATTTAGATTGTTTTCCTGGGAAGCCTGGTTGATACTTGTTGATTTGAAGTTATTAATATTATAGCATATTTTTCTTCAAAAGGGGGAAAATTCTGACTACTCACACTCTATTATAGAAGTAATGGCTTTCACTGTACGATATTGTTTTGTTTTTATTTTGTTTTCCTCTGATTTCCCACACAAATAAGTACTCACATGAGGCAAAGCAGAAACTTTCTACAAGATTTGGCAACCTATACTGTATAAAATGATTTTTGAGACTGAAAGGTGGCTCCATGGGGATTGTGAAGGAAGGGAGATGGTGGAAGTACTGCCAAAAATAAGGATGGAAAAGATTCCTTCTGCCATTTGCAGACTTTGCAATTACATTGACCAACCTAGCATGGAAGTTCTAAGAAATTATTTTTCTGTATGAGAACTCCAAACAAGTTTTATGAAAGTCTGAGAAGCACTTCTGGGCTTCAGACACAGCTAATATATTTAGACTTAACATTTATTATGTGCCTACAGAATATATTTCAAAAGAAGTATCAGAAAGCATTCTGTCCTACTCTTACAGAAGCTACTGTACATGATTTATGAAACAAAACTGATTATGTTATTAGTATGTATTACATAATACAGCTTGTCTATTCAAGTCATTAAACTTCAAAGCTAACCTCAACTGAAATCCTCATAGCACACAGTATGTATAATACATGTTAAACTCTGTTCAAGATCAGATCAAAAGATCCATGAAATCACAAATGTTATAAAACACCCCCTGAATTAAAGCTTATTATAGTACAGGGACAGACAGAAAGCATTTTAAAATTTTTATGAAAAGTGACATAAATTCAGTGACAAAATCTTATATTAAATTTAAAATAAAAAATTACATACCTACATTATTCAGATATAAAATGGATTTTCCTTATAATGTTTTTCTTTGGATTCTCTTTTCTCGTATTTTCTCTTTCAGAGCTTCTGCTTTCATTTCTCTTACCTCAGCCAGGACCAGCACACATTATATGTATATTTATGAATGTATAAATGTACATTCATTTAAATTTTTTAGGGTGCAAGATATAATTTATGCCTACAGGATTCAATAACAACAAACCCACACGATAATTGCTAATTGATGTCTGTTAGTCTACGTGAAAACTCAAGAAAGGATTTTCCCTTGTTGGAGAGGTTTTGAAAAAATAATTGGTTAAATATGATAACCCAGTCCTCTTGATATGAAACTAAATTGAAATCTCACCACAGAACATTAGCATAAGCTGACAGATACTTCAAGAAACATTTGCCATGAACTCAATTCAGAGAACTTAATATGGAGATGGAATTATCTGTAGAATTAATTTGTATGTGAATTCAGTTAAGAACAACTAAATGGCAAGATAGTTTTATAATTAATTGTTTAAATAGGCTGGGATAAGCATAGAAATTTCATATAAATGATAACAATGTGGTGGCTTATACATAAGTTTTGTTCTGTGCCAATATAAGCAGTTGGGTATGCACACTCCACACTTGACCCTTTAGCCAACTGGCAAGTAACTTCTTTCTAGGTCAAGATTCATACAATTTGGAGGCAACAGTACTACTTCCAGATGAACTTCATTTATTTCCAAGAAGTTTTGTGAGCAAAACCATAATTCAGAAAGAGGCAAAAACCTTTCAGTAAACAATCCAATAATCCTTAGCTTCATTCACTACATTTGAATGTTAGTTAAATATTAAATATGGCCATTTGAAAGCACATCAGCTCTAAATAATTGTTTCTTTCCTCAATTTCTTTTCTCAGTTCATTTCCTGCAAAGTTTTAAAGTGTCTTCGGGAAGAACTGTGTAGAACATTACACTGCTTAAGTTCATTGTCTGTTAGGTTTACATATTAAAACAACATTTTCATCGTAGCATCTGCCTGTTTGGCATTCTCCTTTGGCATTTTACTTAGAGACAGTTCCAAAGCCTTTCGCTTACCTTTTTAAGGGAAAGAATTCCTTCCCGTGTTTCTTTGTCAGTGGATATGGAGAACACACCAGAGCCATCACCATTTATAATTGTGTATTTCATGTCTGCATTTGAGCCAGTGTCTGCATCATTTGCCTTGATTTTGCCTACTGCCGATCCAACTTGAGCTGATTCAGGTACATACAGCTGGTAATGTTCTGGGGAAAAAAAGAAAAAGAACAGTCTGGATGATATTTTCTACTCAAAATAAAGAACTGAATTTTGAAGTAAAAAGGAAATGCTGCTACTAAACACATGTAGGCATGCCTAAATTATGGAATCATTATGTGTCTGATGCACTTCTGTGTAAGCAGTACTTCATAAATAAAGCTAGCAAATAAAAAATATGAACATACATAGATTTCTGAATTAATTCAAAGTAAAATCACAGCTTACAAGATTACCTTATTCAAAATCAAATTAGCTAATGCAAACCTACAGTTTTCAGTCATTTTTGCTGTTCATCATGTAACATGGAAATTATCTCTGAAGTTTACTTCACACCACCATGTTAAAAACCATACCTTATGCATTGCCAAAAAACACACGTCTTCAGCAACTTGCTCCCAAATGCTGTCAAATGAGTAATATTTCTTCCAAACTGAAAAGTCTCTGTATGCTATTTGTAACTGTTATGTATACAACATATATCAACAAGCTGCATATGGTATGCAAGACACTACTTTGTAAGTGAGCATCAGGTAATACAAGAGCAGGCGGGAGAAATTACAAAACCTCTAGAATCTTCCAATTCTTATACTTTTAAATATCTATTTTTAACACAGTTTAACATGAGACAGAATAACTCCGAGTCACTGTAGTCAGTGAATATTTTTAAATCTTAAGAAACTCTTTGCAGAGCTCTATGCTCACTTCCTAATGCTGGAAATGTTCCATGGCTTTTAATGGAAAACAACAAAGACATCTGGGTTGTTCCCCTTCTTCCAAACCCATACGTCCAGCAGTTGTAAGAACATCCACTATTAAACATTGTGTATAACACTATGGGAATTGTGATCATATCTAAACTAGAAAATAAGGCACTACATTTTATGAGATTCTCAAGGAAATCAAGAACTTCCTAGTGGAACAACACAAAAAGTAGAGTTAAATATGTAAAGAAGAAATTACCAGTGTGATGAAACAGGGTAATTGATTAGAAGTTGATTCAAATAAAATGCAGTTACTTCTTTGATATGCATATAAAAGCCACCTTTGTGAATTTCAAAAATAAGTGCACTCCTCTGAAACTTTTAATGCTTTCAGATGATGTCAGCTGACACTTTCATATTGCTGGTTGTTTTATTTCATACATAAAATCATAGTGATGGGATGAAATGCATTTTGGTACTTAGTTCTTGTTAAAATAAATGAGGAAAATGCTTGAAACTTTTGCTCTGACTAATACATCCCATAAAGGAAAAGTGAGGTCATAAAGATATGTATATAACCAGGAAGAATTGGAAGTGTTAAAGCTGTAAGATGAGCCGAACTAGATGACGACTTCAAAACATGCAGGCTAGTTCAAAAATATTCCCAAAACACTACACTGTCCTTTATAATCACACCCTAAGTGTTAGCCATCTGTTTTAGAAACATTTTGCTGATATCAACTTTAAATTTCTGAAAATGTTAAAATCTCAAGCAAAATATACATCTGAAATCAGGATTTAATTAGTTCTTGTAGAACCAATGTGTTTCAGAGAATGATGTGATGAAACGTATAGTATTAAAAACTAAAAAATTGCCAAATCACGAAATGCTTCTCAATGAGAATTTTACCATTGCTTCATAGAAATAGCCTGAAGATATCTTGTACAGGCATGAGCCAATTAATAATTCCAAGCAGTAAAATCTGAAATCTACAAATGCATAAGAGGATAAAATTCAGCAGCATTAAGTTGCAAGAAAATATACTACTGGCATTTATTTAGACTAGAGATAATAACTGGAAATGTCCAGTTAAACACTGAGCAAATGTAAATTCTATTCCTGCAAAATATTGATAAGATTAAGAATAAAAGAGATGTGGAATGGGAATACTATGAATTTCACAGAATCACAGAATGGCTGAGCTTGGAAGGGACCTCTAGAGAACATCTAGTCCAACTCCCTGCACACGCAGGGACACCCAGAATATGTGGCATCCAGGCTGAGATCCAGAGAAGGAGACTCAGTCCAGAGAAGGAGACTCCACAACCTCCCTGGACAGCCTGTGCCAGGGCTCTGTCACTCTCACAGGAAAGAAGTTCATCCTCACATGGAGATGGAACTGCCTGTCTTTCAACTTAAATCCATTCCCCTTGTCCTATCACTGGCCACCATTGAGAAGTGTTTGCCTCCTCTCTCCCTGCATTCTCCCCTCAGGTATTGGTACATATTGATAAGATCTGCTCTCTCTGTTGATAAGATCCTTTCTGTTCTCCAGGGAAAACAGGCCCAACTCACTCAGTCTTTCTTTGTACGAGAGATGCTCCAGTCCATTAACCACCTTTGCCGCTCTCCACTGGACCTTTTTTAGAAGTTCCACATCCCTCTTATACCGGGGAGTCCAGAACTGCAAACAACTTTAAAATAAGAATTTATGATTCTTATTTCAACCTATCTGTCTCTCTCATGAGAAACTACCTACAGGTTTGTTGGGGACACAGCAATGCTCAGGATTGACATTATTCCCTAGCAAGGTTCCTATACTCCAAGTCTTCCTAAAAGTGTTTTCATAGCAGGAATTTCACACCATCTTTAAGTTTTTCCACATTGTTCTAGAGGATGTGTTCAGTGGATCACAGGTCAAGATTCTGTAGAGGTTGATTTGGCTCTCAAATTTAAGGTTAATGCTCTCTGAGATGCATTCATATGACTCACAAAACGAACAAATTGATACTCTTTTCCATTTCATAGACTTTACAGGAAAGTGTTATCACTTTGCAAAGCATTCATTTATGTTAATTGAAATATAGTTCAAATACATATAAGCAATCTTCATCTTCCAATAAATTACATGTCTTTTCTGTCACCATAATAAAAAACAATTTACTGATTTCTAGAACAATTTACTTCCAGTTAGCCTACAGGTAACCTAGAAGGGTGTTTACCTATAACGCTCAGAGAAACAACTTCTCTGTATGAATCTCTCCACAAGAGAAACATGACAGTATATACTGCAACTCCACAAGCACATTATTCACTTTAATTATTAATGTATTCTATTAATAATTTTGATTTCTTATCTAGGATACAATATCCTCCAGAGCAGTAGGAATTATGTTACTTGAAAAGGAAGGGAGGAGATGTTAATGGGCCTAATAAAGTGAGAAATGAGATTAATTATTTGGCATGCTTGTTGCTTGTTTACCCACAATATAGTTTTGATAGTATGAGAATAAATACTGCTTGGTGATGAACCAGAAGATGCATTCATTCACACAACATCGCTCATACACTGACTCCTCTGGCTATCTACAGCAAGCCGATAAACATTGCAAGCGAATGCCTTAATGTAAAAAGGTGACATATCCTAGTTATACATGAGAAGAAAGTTCACTTGTAGCTGAAACTATGTGGATGTTCAGCCATTAGCCAGATGAGTGAGATATGGAAGACAAGTGGACAGTGAGGTGGTCTCAAAGGGTGATGATTATTAGCATAAAATTAAATTGGCAGCTGATTAGTAGAAGCATCTTTCAGAGAACAATATTGGGGCAATACTATTTAATGTCTTTACTAATAAACTGATGAGTAGCATGCAGTCACAGCATGCTTGTGGATTACAGGTTATTTGATGGTAGTTGGAGGACAGAGGAGGGCAGGGTGACTTATTCAGGAGGACCTGACCACGCTGGAGGACAGGAACCTCAGGAGTTCAGTAAAGGCATATACAAAGTCCCACGCCTGTAGAGGAATGCCAAATACCTGCTGGAGCAGGCAGTCCAGAGAGCTGTAGGATCTCCATGCTTGGAGATCTTCAAAACCTGTCTGGACCTGTCTAAACCTCAGCAACCTCATCTAACTAAAATGACTTTAAGTAGGGATTTGGATAATATGACCTTCTGGAGGCCCTACATGATTCCATGCTTCTGACTCATGAAGTTATGCCTCAAGTTTTACCATAAGTTATCTCTAATAAAATCTCAGTTCAGCTTCAACTGTAGACTCTGCTCAGTCTCAGGATGCAGCTTTCTGCTCTAAGATTATTCTTCGTTAACACAGATGCTTATTTGTTTTACATATCGCATGATTTTGGATTTTCCTTTTGAGACTGCAGCTTTGTAGAAGTTCTCAGACTTTCTTGGTTAGTTTTTCTTCAGCTTTTCTTCACTATTTTTTCTTCAGCTATGAATGTAACATAAAAAAATGTATAAATTTGGGATTTTTTTCACTGCCAAAACACTCCTTTGCATTTTTTAGAAAAAAATATTTGAACTCTAGGAGAAGTCTTTGCATATTTGCAAATATAAACATAATTAAAGTAAACTTCAAGACTTAGACAGTCTGCTTGCCTTGAAGCTTTGGGGAATATAAGATTCTTGGGTCCATTTTAGGTAAAACTTTCCTCTTAGATGCCACAAACTTATTTAGCTGGAAAAAGATTTAGCAACCCCAACTAACTGAAATTAGTTTAAGCATGACCCTGTTTTTAACACCACAGTGCCAAAAGTATGAGTTACGCTTATGATTAAGATTATAATCAGTGACAAGTTTCATTTATGTTCCATGCAACTTTGCTTTTACACAGAGTAATTATAGGGATAATTTTCAGAATTTAAAAATATTCCCACTTGTTGTAAAAAGTGTGAACTTTATGCCACTTTTATGGGTAAAATGCAAACAGAAAGGAAACATTTTTCCCGTGTTTTCAGATTCAGTAATCTTCTGTAGGTATTGAATACCCAACTACGCATTTCCTGGGCAAATGGTGTGAGGAAAACAACATATGCACTCCACAGTCATCACTAATGAGCAACTTAATGGTTGGGCTTGATTTGCGGCAGTCTTTGGAGCTGTGCTGTGTTGAGCGTAACCCACGCCATTTACCCGAGGACCCAGGCAACATCAAGCAGCCTGAGTCAGCAGCGGGCAATAGCAACACTTGCAAACAGAATCTGCTCCTCTTGGACTCCTTTTTTTCCCTAGAGTTAGCACAACTTGGACTGTATTT